AGAACAGTTGAATGAAAATAACAAAGGGAAACAAATTTGATGAGCTAATTATCTGTGTGAAAATCTGAATGTAGAGTGATTGATGTCGTCTTTTGATCTGATTGATCGATTGAATTTAAATTTTTTCGGTTTGGTTCTTCTTTATTTATTTGTTTAATTTTGGGGAAAAGAATATTATTATGTTTAACTAGAGTGATGTGGTATGTTTATGCTTGTGTGATTGTGGTGACGTCATCCATTGTGAATTAAACTGGAGAGGAATAATATTTGATCGATTAAAATTACATTAAATCGTGTAGTTTAACCTAACATTAAGCTCTCATATAGAAGGGGAATTTAGAAATTTTCAAGATTGGAAAATGTCGTCTTTTTGTCCGAATATGGCAACTTAGAAAAATATTACGGTTGAAACTCGGGATTGGATATAGATTAAACCCAACTTATTGAGTTAAAAATAAATTAAAGTGAGTTATTTTGAATAAAATAAATTTAAAATTAAATAATATTTAAAATATAATGATTAAAATTGATATGCTATAAAATTAAGATGAAATTATAAAAAAAATATATATAATTAAAATTATGTAATTGAATAAATAGTGAATTAAAATTGATGTGATTTGTGAAAATATGATACTAATTAATTATATTCACAAAAAATGAATGTTAAATCTGCTTTCTTGATTTGGTTCATTATTTATCAAATGAATGTTAAATATACATTTTTTAATGGTGTTCTGAAGGAAGTTGCTTATGTTAAATATCCTGAAGGCTTTGTTGACCCACATTCTTCTGATCATGTCTATAAACTAAAGAAAGCTTTGTATGAGCTCAAACAAGCTCCTAGAGTATGAACGATTGACGAATTTTTTTATTAAAAAGGGCTATAGTCGAGGGGGAGTTCATAAAACTCTCTTTGTGCAAAAATCAACAAGGGTATTACCATTGTACAAATTTATGTCGATGAAATTATCTTTGGGTGCACCTCGAAATCTCGTGTCAATGAATTCATAGAACACATGTCTAAAGGGTTTGAGATGAGCATGGTTGGTGAGCTAACTTATTTTCTAGGGTTGCGGGTCAAGCAGTATAAGGATGGAATTTTCTTCACTAAGCCAAGTATGCACGAAATCTAGTAATTAAAGAAATTTGGGTTGGAACATGCCAAGTGTCCTGATACTCTTATGAGAAGCCATAAAAAGCTTTCTAAGGATGATGCAGGAACACCGGTTGATTGAACTCTTTATAAAAGTATGATTTGTAGCCTTTTATACTTAACTGCTAGAAGACTTGATTTATGCTTTAGTGTAGGAATGTGTGCTCGATATCAATCCAATCCTAAGGAGTCACATTTTATGTATGTGAAACATATAATCAAGTATGTTTATGGTACAGTTGATTTAGGGATATTATAAAATATTTTTTATGTAGTTCGATCGGTTCTATTATTTCGATTAATTTAAAATAAAGTAGAGACCGAACTGAAATACCCGAATGCACTATTACGCTAATGTGCAATCTGACAGGCACTACGTGCAGTTTGTCTAACACTATTTTGAATTGCACTGAACATTATTGTGCAACTATCAACTTTTATTAATTTACATATTTAACTTATGAACTAAATTGCAATTAGTTAAAATTTTTGAAATTGCAGATAAGTTCCTAAAACTTATATAATACTAAAAAAACCCAATCCCCAACTACCAACCCCAAAATTGTCCTGCGCCGTCCGGTGAGCCCCCTTCTCCATCTTCAACTTCGAGTCCGAGCTCTCATCCTCCACCTCCTCCGGCGGCCGCCTCCGCTACGACAATTGATGACTCCCATCAATTGGCTCTATGTGTCACAAATGTCTTGTATCCCTACTCTATTTTTTCACTGTTAAAGGTTTGTACAAAATCGACGGTAGCTCGTGGTTCAACAACAAAATCAGCGGCGTTGGCGAAATGGACGAAGAGGAGACTAAAACCCTGGTATCTTCGTTCTCAACGAACTCCTTCAGCACCAGGAGGAGGGATGAGGAGTGGTAGGGCTCCAAGTGCAGAAAGAGGGCAGCGGTGAAGGCGGAGGCAGAAATCCCTGGAATTTTTTTGCGCCGACAATCGTTGAATTTCCAGGAGGAGTTGGCGGCTGTTGGTGGTGGATAGCCTGCCAAAACCAATTTAGGCGACGGAGGAAAGCGGTGATGACAACAGGACTGGCTGTGGTGGGCAGAGTTGTGACCGGCAGTGTTGTGTGTGTTTGTTTTGTGTGCCCGTGTGTGTGCATGTGTGAGATAAGATAGGTGGGGTGGGGTAGGGTGGTTACTGATGGGATTGGGGCAACAAATGGCCCACATGGCAAAGAGATAACGGTTTGGGTGAGTGATTGGTTGGTGTGGGGCCTACGGGTTGATAAGAAAAATGACTGACATATGTTTAATGTATGTAAAAATGTTGGCTTTTTTTCATCGTTGGCTCATCATATTTTATGACTAAGATGTATTCTTCTTTTTTAAACACCATTCTCACCGGAACGCAATAATAATTTATGCCAACCCAGCCTCCGTCACATAGCCGAGTGGTACTGAACAATAACATAGGTGGATTCGCAACCTCAACGTGGGGAATTCGATCCCTGAAAGTAACATTTCAGTGAGAATAATTTTCTTGGGGGTAGGAGTGGGCTTACTCAGGCACATCTGGCGTTTTACTTCCCTGAGTCACTTAAGGGCTGAAGCTTNTTTAATGCATGCTTTATTTGGAAACTTTTTAAATATATGCATTAATTGTTTTAATATACACATTTCCAAATCAAATATGACCAAAAAGATTCTTTCCTTGAATAATTTTATTAACATATGCAATAATTTTATTGATATCCATTATAATAAACTATAATTTGATTTTTCGTGATTGATGTTGATAATATTTTGGTCAACATAAACATGAAAACAACTTTTAAATCTTAACTATATTATTATTTTTTTTTTCACAAATGTCGACTTTCATCCTAAAATATTTATAAACAATGGTAACATGTTAAATAATTCTCCATCTAACTAATTAGCCGAAATCAAGTTGGTGAATTAATATTTTTTTAACCTTTATTTAATTATATAAACAAATAATTTAACATTTAAGAGATAATGATCACATCAATAAATAATTTATTAATGGCTAAATCATAAAATTAAAATATATTAACTATTCTTTACATTTTCAATATTTGATTTATTTGTATATTATTGTCGACCATGATAATTTTATCATTTTTTTTTTATTTTTATTTGTTTCCATAATGAATTTATTGTAAAATATATATTTATATTGCATAGTATGTTAAATAAACTAATAAAGCCTTAGGATGCAAATTAGAAAAATCTCTAGATTATGTAAGGTTTATTATTTGACAATTTGCTAAATCAATTTTTTTTTAGTTATTATGAGAAAATTAAATTCTAAAAAACATGTGTGTGTATTTTGTAAACATTTATAGAAATTTTTTTATTTTAAACTCATTACATAAACTAAGAAGAAGAAGACTACTTCTATAACCTTTATAAATAATAATAATGACATTATATGACAACAAATATTATAATAAAATAATAATTGACTATTAAATAAATGGTGAACAAGAATAAACATAAATTTTATTTTATTTTTCTTATATCGATGGATATATATATGTTGCAGAATCAAATGTATATCAATATAACGTGTTCGCAGAATGATATATTAATAGCATGTCAACGTTATGACTAAAATAAATATCACTGATTGAAAGAAATGGAAAATTAGTGATCCATCCCTATTATTTTTTGCCAAAATCGTACAAACCATATAGATGACTCAATTAATATATGTGTCCCGTGCATCGCACGGGCTATGCACTATTTAAGATAATATGCTAATAGTAATAATTTATAACTGCCTTACAATTGACTCTTGATAAATGTGTTCAAACTTCAAATACACCGTCGTTTACAATACCAATCAATATGATATACCCAGGTGAATAGTTAGATACATCTAATATTGTATTATCCTGAATGTAGAAAACAAATAGTATTTAATTCGTTTTAACTGCATGATTGTCGCGTGCCACAATCTTTTTACTCGCTTCATGCCAGAGTCTTCATGAAAATGAAACAAAAGAACAACTCCGCACTTACAATTCACCAAGCACTAATTGCGGTTGGAAGATGGAAAGGGATTGATTGTGAGTGCTAAGAAGAACATTTATGTCAAATTGACTGTATCATAAAAGTTACAACTGCTGAATATCTTTCATTCGATATTATACTATAATATACACTTTGATGTTGGTGCAATTGTTCAAAAGTCTAAAATAATAAAGTCTTCTCAAGGTTTTCTTTCCGACCGTAGAGAAAGATTTCCTTCTATGCCCTTCTCTCATATTGTCCATGTGGGGATAGTGGGGAGAGGTCAATAAATTAAATGGACTAGTTTTAGCAGTTTTGATTCCTATTATTTATTATTAGTAGACTTTGGGCAAAAATTGGGTTGGGTTAAACAAATTCTTGATTCAAATAGGTACATGAATGTAAAGTAGGACTTCGTTGTTAGCATATGTAACCTAGAGACAATATTATTAAAAATATAAGTACTATATACTTTCTCACGGTCGGCCTTGGGACAGGGCCATTAGGACGAACGTCCAGGGCAAATTTCGAAGGCACAAATTATTATTATTATATTTTTTTTTTAAAAAAGAACATTTTAGTATAATTGATTATTAAAATGAGTTTTATTCTCCCTTATTTTCACATAACTAATTATAGTTTTCTGTATGTGAAGTTCTAACCGTGAAATTAGTTTATAATAGTTGATAATTAATGTAACGCCCCGCCTAATATTACTACAATCAGAGTAAATTTTTCGCGCTTATAATTTGAAAACACTGATTTAGTTTTCGAAAACCTCAACTGAAAATCGAAAACATTTTATCTTGCGGGATGCTACCAACTGCTAACTATATCTCTTTATCTCATCATACATGCAACCAAGTAAAATTCATTCTATAATTAAGGCCATGAAAATACTGGATTTAAACATGCATAGTTTAAAGTCTCATAATTCCGAAATAAGCCTGAAAGATGCGGAAGCATACAAGTTCGAAATCACAAACATACATACTTAAACCAAACATGTTCAATAATACTACATGACATGTTCATCAAAATATCCTCATGCTTATGACCACCACCACAGCTGCTCACGCGCCACGCTGGACTCCGTCCCTTGAAAAATAGTTAGTGGGGGCGTGAGCAAAACTACTATGCTCCGCAGAAACCACCACTGAATACACATCTAATGTAATAACATATCATGACATCAGCATATATACAATTACCTACTATGTTTGGCAGAAACGATACGATGATAATCATTATACTAATGCATCGCGAACTAAATATGCATCTAATATGATAAACCATCACATCCTAAGCATACATCTAATATGATAACGCATCACAATAGACATATAAATAAATAAACTGTCTATTAATACTACTCAATCTTCCGTGATTGGTCGGTGAACTACTGCTTATCTAACTGTCTATAACTGCCACTCAACGTACTGTCTATAACTGTCGCTCAACTTACTGTCTATAACTGCTGCTTAACTTACTGTCTATAACTGTTGCTTAACTGACGGGCAAAGCTATCCTTCTAGAACTAGAGCATAACTCAGATCTGTACTAAAGTCCTTGATTTTAACTGGAGTATGAAACACTTGGCTATAGAAAAACCGATCTCTAGGCCGATGCCCATTGGGGAAGAAATATTCTAACATCATATGGAATTGCAACTTAACTCAAAGTTGTATTAATGTTCTTAATTCACTTGACTCAAAGCTTCACTAGAGTTCTTATCTCAACTTAACTAGCGTTCGGATCATTTAGCTAGAAAGGACCTACTCGCTAGGTTATTGCCCCTATTCAAGCAAACTAGCTCTTACATACATACCTCAATCAGGTTAATGCGATTATAGAAAATGTAGCACCTAGTACAGGGTCCCCACCTGATGTGCGGAAATGCAAGTGCTGAATGGATTGAAATTGTCGGAGGCTCGACTCCCCACAAGTTATAAAATATTTGAGCAAAATATATTAGAAGTACTTAGCTCAATCTAAAAAACTCGAATCTTAATATCCGATCTTTCTAGGTTCCCTCGCTAGTTTTAAAAATCATTTATAACTCAATTTAAAACAATTACGAGCTAATTTGAAAAATTACTGTCTTGAGGCTTTCTAGAGTTCTCGAAAATACTTATAAGTCTGAAGCTAATATCTGGTTTGATCTAAATCTGACTCAGTTCGAAAAATACTTAAATCTTGGTTCATGCTCAAACCGGAATCCCGAACTGAAAGCTCTCGAACCGTCAGGACTGCCAGAACCTGTTCAGCTGGATTTGACCGGCGGCTCGCTCAGAACCGGCCGTTCACTCGCTTGCTAGGTGCGACTTGGCTCAATCATGGTACGAGTTCGGCGTAGCAACTCACGGGCACGCACGAAGACGGCTGACAAGGCTTTGCCGACGCACGGGCTTTCTAAATGGTGTCACGGTCACTGACGCAAGGATGCGCTTGGACCACGGCTAACGGGACACGGCGTGTTGACGGATAGGTTGGATGGACGCACAGGCGTTGGGCAGAGCGCAGGAGCGCGGCTCGATCGGACTCGGTGTTGGGTTCGTTAGTACCGTACGGGCTGTACGCAGCGGAATTTAAAATTTTTAAAGTAAGTATTTATCGTATAAATACAACACCCGTACATACTAATTGCGAATTAACAGATCGTCATCTTTAAAATATGCATCATATACAAATTTTTATTTGTTATAATAAAGTAAATACTAATACGAAATATTTACCGAGTGTCTTGAACTCCTTCAACAAAGATGTGGATTGTGGGAATCGGTTCCCGGTTGTAACTTCAACGGCTTGAGGTTACTCGCTTTAGGAATCCAAATGTCTTCCCTCTAATCGTATCCACCCTATGAAGCCCGGTTCCGACGACCT